ATTTTTTTTCTATCTGCACACTTCACTTATACTTGCATCATACTTTTTGAACCCAAAAATCCAATCTAATTCAAATTGAATCAACTCTATGAATAAAATATTGAATCAAAACACAAATCAATCTCAGGCTTTTGAACAGATAAAAACTCTGAAATTAAAAAAGAAATCCTCTGAACCTTTCCCTGAATCATGTTATGCTCGGTCTGACTCTAAAAATCACCCTTAAAACCAAGTTGAATTCTTCTTAAAGATCCATTTTGAAATGAATTAGAAACATGAATCGATTTCTAAAAAATGTCATCATAACAAATGAACCTATTTTGAAATAATCTTAACTCGAACAGTAAACTTGGCTTCTCTTTTGAATCAATGACAAGGACATGAACATGAATATATTAACTGTTTTGACTTTTCAATGGCTTCTATAACCCGATTTCTCCAAGTGACTTAAACTTGACAAAAATCCTAACTTGACGATCTTCATATACCAAGCACCACTTTATGCCAAATTCTGTGAGGGAAAATCGTCATACAACATATGATCTTAAGTTTCGATGATGACAAATTGCAACCATGGATGAATCGGTATTATCGGTTCTACCTCTACAAAGACAAATGCAAATATTCCATGCATCATATCTTCCTATATCATTTAACTTACTTTACTCAATACAATATATGTGGATGATATGTGGTTATGACTAAATGCATAAAAACCACATAAATATCATTTTTTGTAGAGTTACAGGCCATGAGTCGGCCACTGAGTCAGCGTATGTATCTGTGCAAATGGTCACGGGTCGGCGCATGAAGACTGTGAGTCGACCACAAGGTCGACGCATGGAGCTTGCATTTTCCCACGGGTCAACGCATGCCGACCTATGGTCGACTCACACTGTTGGGACTTTCAAACTTACCTAAATCTGCAGGCTATGCGTCGACGCATAGACCTGCTATGGTCGACCGTTCGCGTGTTGGTGCAGTTATTGAAGTCTTTCCACTGTGTTTGAAAAGCTGTTAAGTATTTGATTGGTTGGTTACTATAAATAGAGACTTTGTTCATTTTTATCAACAACAATTGTAAATTTGAGTCAATTGTCATAAAACAAGAAAAGTGAAAGAGGTGCCATCAAAGTTCATCAATCTTCATCTTCTACAACCCACAACACAACAATTACACACAACAATTCTTGGGGTGCTTGTGATCTTGTTCAAGGTGATAAGGTCCGAAGCCGTGATCGAAAATCCGGTTCGGGTTGATTTTGAAGGCAGGTTTTTCTTGAATAAAACCTAGCAGGTTTTGCCCTTCAAGATTTGGAGATTTTGGGGGTTTTTCGGTACAGATCATCTCTACCTACTTCAGCTGAGTGAAGGTGATTGAGAAGCGGTAGTCTCCGTTAATCTAGTAGCGAAAATAAGTGAAGCGTGCAAGAGTGTTCCGGGTTCGATTTGTTTGTGCGTGAGATCAGCCAGGCCGAGGGTTTGAAGCACGGAAGGTTATTCAACAAAGAGGCTGGAATCGGAGGTCTACTCACAATAATCGGAGAACTTAATTCGACTCGAATCAAGGAGCAAGAAGTGATAGCATCATCAACATCAAGAGGGCTTGCTTGTACATTTTGCTTATCAATTCTTGTATAAACATTTCTACGTTACAGGTGATATATATTATATTGATCTCAATTCTATTATTAGAATTGAGGGCAGACGTACCCCGAAGCGAGGACGGCGGGGGAACTGCCTCAACAAATCTTTGTCTCCTTTACTTTTCATCATTTTCAATTTTGCCTTAAATTTTAAGTGATTTTAGTATAAACAGTTATATCAAAATTAGGGTTGATTTGAGTAAGTACTTAATACTGTTTTGAACTTTAGTGCAACAATATATTGCACAAGGAATTTAAAGCAACTTACTCAAGCCAAACCACACTTGGAGTGTGTTGCACACCAAGTGTTTAATAAATTGCCTACACCAAAGTTTACTTAGCTCATTTCCCTATTTTGTGGGCATTATAGATCATTGGTGCTACTCCTACTAATAAGTGGTAAAATCAACTGATAGTGTGACTAGTGTGTTGAATCAAATTTTGCTCATTATCATTTCCATAAGACTAGACGCATATCTGGTCTTCTAATAACGGTTCGTTTTAGACGTAATTTTTCCACGGCCGCTTCCGTAATTGAAAAAAATACTTTTAAAAACCAATTTTAATTGGTAGTGCCGACTGCTTTTTAATTGGGATCTATTCAACCCCCCCTTCTAGATCCAAGCCATCATCTAACAAATTCAACTTGAGAATGAAACAATTTCCTTTTTCTCAACCAAGATCGAGTTGCATTCAATTTAAAACTGAAACAACATTGCACATACTCTCAACCTGCATTGCACGACACATACCCATTTTGAACAGAAGAGAACAAGAAACCCTAATCTTCGTGCTTTGAGTGCATACTGACGAGACAATCATTTAGGAGATTGATGGGAACCACAACCCTAATTCAGGATCTTTGCCACAGCCTGATAACCTGATACTGAAATAAACCACTTGTTTGACCAAGATTTGGTCAAACTTCCACTGAATTTCAAACCACACCGTACAGACCCTCGACCTGATAACCTTGTTTGATCCTTGATTCGACCTTGAGACTCAAAGAACTTGTGATGAAGTCATATTGCATTGGATAATTGAGGAAATGAGGTCTCTTAGGAGTGCGAGTACTTGATTGATTGATGATTTATCTAAAACCTTGATTGATCAAACCTTGGAGCTTCTTGAAACAAACCTTAATTCATAAATGAAATAAAATAAACAAATAGCTGATAACCTGGTTAATTATGCATGAATAATTGACCTAAATGACATGCAAAAGATGACATCTAAAGGGTAAAATTTAGTGTATGACAGGTATTTGAGATGCTACTATAGTCATTGACGTGAATCATTCTCAAACATAGTTCTTGATTAAAAACTCAATAGATTGACTTAAATCATACTCTCTCAGTCTCTGGCCTTATTTATAAGAAAAAGTCTTCTAAGTTTTTTGTCTTAAAAAATCTAGTCACATTTAATAGCTTTATTCCAAAATTATCCATGCATTAATTATTTATGTTGTTAGTGGATGACAATTTAATTAAGGTTATTAATTATGTTTTTTTTACATGAAATCAAAAAAATTAAATTCACTTAAATAACATTTTCAATAAGCGTGAAAGTTATTTTTTTTTGCTTATAATAAGGGTGGAGTAATATTACAAACACTTTGATTTATGCAATGCTAAAATGAATTTAAAAATTAACGCAATAATGTGTGATCGATAGGAGACTCAATAGTTAAATAAAATCACAACTATCAACTTAATAGACAAGTAATCAAAGTATTTAACACATGAGACAGATACATGAAGCATGCAACTTTAGTCTCCAATTTTCTATGTTTAGCAAGCTTACAATTGAAATTGAGTCAATTTTACGCACAAACAAAATGTGATCAATATTTTTCCCTCTTTGCTTGTGTTATGCGAAACATTGCACATAATTATCTTTTGTTTCACTCTCTTCTATTTTATTTATGTCATTGACGTAATAATTACTTATAATTATATATTTGTTGAAATTGAGTCGATTTTATGCAAAAACAAAAGGTGATCAATATTTTTCCCTTTTTGCTTGAGTTATGCGAAACATTGCACATAATTATCGTTTGTTTCACTTTCTTCTATTTTATTTATGTCATTGACGTAATAGTTACTTATAATTATCTATTAGTTAAAGTTGAGTCGATTTTACGCAGAAATAAAACGTGATTAATACTTTCCTCTGTTTGCTTGTGATATGCGAAACATTGTGCATAATTATCTTTTGTTTCACTCTCTTCTCTTTTATTTATCTCATTGGCGTATTAGTTACTTATAATTATCTATTTGTTGAAATTGCGTCGACTTTACGCAGAAATAAAACGTGATCTATACTTTCCTCCATTTGCTCTTATGCTAACTGAAACATTGTACATATTTATCTTTTGTTTCAATCTTCTTTTTTATTTATGTCATTTTAACGTAGTATTTACTCACAATTATTTATTTATTGAAATATAAATTAATACACATGTACATTTTTTTATATTAATGTTGAATTTTCTATTAAATTTTTTATTTATTAATTCAATTGATTCAAATTAATATTTTATAACTAATAAACGTTAAAAAAATAGTTTTAAGTAATTATATTTTATTAATATCCATTTTATTATTTCATATATTTTAAATAATAATATAAAAAATAACGTGATATTTAATAAAACTTTTTACTAACATTTATAAAAACACATGAAATTTTGGTAATAAACTTGGTAATCTGATCCAATTTTTTTTTAGAGTAATTGAATAAAAAATTCAATTAATTTTAAAGTTAATTTTTAAAAGTAAAAGCTTAAACTCTATGGCAATCCCATCCTACTACAAATGCATCCTCGTAATTATAGGAATTGTGTAAACACAATTTTCTTCTTTTAAAAAAAAAGTTACATGCCATATTGTAACACCTGGTTTTCGTATTAAAATTAACTTTTAGATTTTTTTAATCTTATTTTGATTCTAAAAAAATAATAATAAAAATTATCCTATTTTGAAATTCTTACCACGTTTTTTATTTTATTTTATTTTTTTGCCTTTTTCGTTATTCTTCTTATTTATTTCTTTTATTTTTCTTCCTTTACCTTCTTTGTCTTTCAGTTTTCTTCAATTGGTTGATCTGCTTCTCCACCTTCCTACTCTCGATCTTTCCCTTTAATGTCCGATGAAGATCAACTTTAACCTCAACTACTGATGATTTAGAGAGAGAAAATTCTAGAGTGAGAAAAAAAAGTTTCATGTTTGGTGGTGAATTTTGGGTTTTTGTATTTGCCTGTGTTTTGAAGGTGAGGGTGATTAGGGTTTGTTTATGAGAGTTAATCTTTGTTGGGTTTTGTGAAAAGGTGGCTGATTTTGTTAGATTTCTGATATGGGTGGGTGTTTTCCTTGTTTTGGATCATCCAACAAGGAGGACACTAAAGCTGTGAAAGAAGTTTCCAAGAAAGAGGGGTTTAAAGAAGCTTCTCTTCCTCAATCTCATCACCCCACTAGGGTTAGCTCAGGTTAGAGACTGAATTTTGAGAAAAAATTGTTTTTTTAATTTATTTTGCCTTCTTTGTTTGATTATTGGGTTGTCTTCAATTTTGTTCAATTTTGGGTTATTATTGGTTATTGTGACCTAATTTTTATGCCTAGGTTGTTTGTTGGTTTGATCTGGTTCATTTGAGGTTGTGGTTCTATTGATTTGATGGTAGTGAATGTTGATGATAGGTTTTGGTTTCAGCTGATTTTGTAATTGAATTTCATTCTATTTAGGAAGTTCTAGTAACATTGTGGATCATCTGTTCTTTGGTAAAATCTGCACATGATATGAATAATATATCACATTGTTTATGAATGTTGTCATTTTCAGCAAAGTGTTCTTCAATGTAGTAGATAGCCCTTGTGGGATGATTAGGTTCATTAGCATTGTAATTGATTTTGGGATGTGATCATGTGATATATGATTTACGGATGAAAACATTGTTATTGAGTGATTTAGCACAAAGATAGTTGTTGGTGTAGAGTAAATCGGCATATGGTCGGTCTTAAGGCTGTTTTTAATGTGTTACTATGCCTTGTGTGACGGAGCATAATGACTAGGAGCGTCAACATCATGACATGATCTTCTTTATGATTTTCTATAATCTAATCCATCCAAGATGGTGTTTTTTTATTGCTTTAACTCCTATCTTTAATTACTTGTGTAGATAAATCAAAGTCACGAAGTGTATCGGATTCTAAGAAGGAAACGCCAGCTCCAAAGGATGGGCCAACGGCACATATTGCTGCACAAACATTTACATTTCGAGAGCTTGCAGCTGCTACAAAGAATTTTAGGCCAGAGTGTTTATTAGGTGAAGGAGGTTTTGGACGTGTTTACAAAGGTCGCCTTGAGAGCACGGGACAGGTAAGTTGTGATTGCTGCTCCAGAAACTTCCGACTTATCATATACTGAACCTCGGTCTAATGCTGTTGCTATGAAAACAAATTTTCATTTTTCTTTTAATAGTTAACATTTTGGGCTTGGAAAGTTGATTGCTCAATCACCAGTTTTCCATTTGATTATTGCTTTATTACTACTTCCTCTGTTCCTATATGTAAGACCTCATTGACCATTGCACAAAAATTAGGAAAAATAATTTCGTTATTAAATTTTTCAATAATGTTCATTCTCTTTCCAAAATTATCCTTCATTTATTAAGAGGTAGAATTGATTGATCTTTTAATTCTCTTCATTTAATTTGGGGTTTTTGTGAAAAAATAATTCATGTATCTTATAATTTGAAAAAGATCATATAAAATTGGACAATTAAATTTTGCAAAATGGTCTTACATATAGGGATGGAGGTAGTGTAACTCTACTTCTCCTTTTTATCTTTTGTGGATGAATAATTTTCTTTGCAGGTGGTTGCTGTAAAACAGCTTGACCGAAATGGACTTCAAGGAAATCGAGAGTTTTTGGTGGAAGTTCTCATGCTCAGCCTCTTACATCACCCAAACCTTGTGAACTTAATTGGTTATTGCGCCGATGGTGATCAGCGGCTTCTTGTTTATGAGTTTATGCCATTGGGATCTTTGGAGGATCATTTACATGGTCAGATTGCTTTCCTTTTTTAGCTGAAACTTTTGCTTTAATGCTTCATGAATAAATGTGCTTTCATATTTCGAGGCTATTAAATTTTAGATTTCATGTTGGTTCAAATTTATTATCTCCAAGAAAACCATGTATGAGTAGGCTAAGAAGTTGACCAATGGTGACTTAGTGACTGGTCTTTGACTCAATGTTGACTGGCCTGATATATGTGCTCTTTTTTTGGTTTATTTAGGCGGTGAGATAAAAAATGTAATTTAATAGATATTACTAATGTTCATTATTTTCCATAAACCTAGATTATTCTCGTGTGCAACTAACTAGTAGTACGTCGGAGTAGCCATTTGGTGATTGTGGAAAATATCACTTTTATTGAAATTGGAAAGCCATATCGATTCTTCAATGCTTTTCTCATTGCCAAGCTAAAATGTTTGATGACTGATACTCTCTATAGAACCGGATTGTTGATGTGGAATTGATATAGTGGTGGTGCCAGTCTAGTCATTAGAAGCAAAGTCTTAAACTGCGACCTAGACCTGTAGGATTAATTGATGTTTTTAATTAAATTTTGTTTAGATGATGGTAGTAGTGAATTTACTAATAGGAATTGCTTATTAACAAGGACTAGTAGCCTCCAGCTTTATCACCATTCTGACTCTGAATCTCTTTCTCTTTCCAGATCTTCCTCCTGACAAGGAGCCTCTAGACTGGAACACAAGGATGAAAATAGCGGCTGGTGCAGCAAAGGGGTTGGAATATTTGCATGACAAAGCAAACCCCCCTGTGATATACAGAGACTTAAAATCATCCAACATCCTCCTAGACGATGATTTTCATCCTAAGTTATCAGATTTCGGCCTGGCAAAACTCGGTCCAGTTGGCGACAACACTCATGTATCTACAAGAGTAATGGGAACATATGGCTATTGTGCCCCAGAATATGCTATGACAGGTCAACTAACTCTCAAATCAGACGTCTACAGTTTTGGAGTTGTCTTCCTTGAACTCATTACCGGGCGCAAGGCTATTGATAATACGCGTGGGCATGGTGAGCATAATCTCGTGGCATGGGTAAGTACACCTTAACCTGATCATCCATGTGCATATTTCTAGGTCATGCATCAACTAAATTGATTTTTATGTTAATATTTTTACCAACTTCTGAAATAACATCTATGGGCCCGTTTGCAACAGATTATAAAAAAAGTGATTTTGAGATTCGACAATTTAAATATTACTTTTCGAGAATTTTAAGAAAAGCATAAGCTATTTTGTTCTTGTTTATTGCAAATGAAAATCACTTCTGAATTTTAAGAAAAGCATAAGCTATTTTGAAATAATAGTAACAAACAGGTCCGTAATAAAAATTTACCAATATTTTCCTTCATATTATTGGGGTATGGAACTATGCAGGCACGACCTCTTTTTAAAGACCGCAGGAAGTTTCCGAAAATGGCTGATCCACTACTTCAAGGCCGATATCCAATGCGGGGACTGTACCAGGCACTTGCAGTTGCAGCAATGTGTTTGCAGGAACAAGCTGCCACAAGACCTCTGATAGGAGATGTTGTGACTGCTCTCACATATCTAGCCTCCCAGTCATTCGACCCGAATGCAGCAGGCACTCAGTCAAACAGGCTCGGTTCATCAACTCCTAGAATGAGGACAGACAGTATGGATAGTCCCGACCGCAGACAGCTTGGTTCTCCATCCACCCACAGAAACTCACCCGACTTCAGGAAGAGAGACAGTAGGGATCCAAGTGAGTTAAGCAGGGTTGACACCGGTGGCAGCGGGTCAGGGAGAAAATGGGGAGGAATAGATGATCTGGAAAGGCATGATTCTCAGAGAGAAAGCCCTGTAAATACCGGAAGAGCTAGAGAGACTCCAAGAAACCGTGACCTGGACAGAGAACGTGCAGTTGCGGAAGCAAGAGTATGGGGTGAGAATTGGAGAGAGAAGAAAAGAGCAAATGCAATGGGAAGCTTTGATGGTACAAATGAATGAAAAACATCACATTACATCACCAAATTAGCATGCTTGAGTCAGAGGAGAATCTGTGTTGGTTTTCTCCTACATCATTTTATAGTAGTTAGTCCACAGTTGAAAAAAAAAACAAAAAAAAGAGGTTGGGGGAGACATGTAAGTTAGTGTGGATTTGGGGTATTAAAAGTGCAATCATGGTGCATCCTTGTCTATTATTTACTAAAGATTTCTAGGTTCATGTTGCATAGAGCATCATCATAGGCGTCTAATTTTTGGCTCAGTGGATTTGGTTGTGGGTTTCATTGTTGTCACATGTTACTATCTCGTACAGTTATATCTATTATATTATATTTTATGTCCGAGTCTCTTATGTTTTCGGCTTATATACAAAAATATATATATAGTTTATTGTATCTATTTATTATTATTATTATTATTATCTATTTCACATGAAATGGCAAATGTGTACACTAGAGATTTAGAACGCTCATGTTGTGACTTTGTTGGAGTTACGTAAGTTAGTTTGTGTTTCTACTGTGAAGTGAAGGTTTCTTAGAATGGTCATGCCTTTATTAAACAATTGAATGAATCAGAAGCATATTTATCCTTTGACAAATTAAGGACAGCCTAGTTGAAAAACTCTAATATTGAATTAGATTTCTACCGAGTAATATTCGGATATAGAATATTCTATAAAATATTCCTCTATCTAGATAGGTTTTTTTTTTTAAATTAATACGTTAAGTGTTATTTACACGGTTTTAATTAAATGTTTCTTTTATATTTCAACATACTATCCATGTTTACATTGGAGTGTTTAAAATTGAATAAGCTCAACAAAAACTATTAACTGAATTAAATTGAAAATAGCAACAAAAAAAATGTAATTGATTCGGATGTGTTTTGATATTTTTTTAACAAAATTATACAATTCAATTTGATTAACAGTTTGTATTTTGCAAATCAAATCAAACTACAATATATTACAAAATTTTATGGAACATGGTATATATTAAAAAATTTATGGAACATTGTATATATTTTTTATTGAGAATTTTTTAACGTATTTTAGATCTTTCTACTGAATCATATATTACAAAATCTTATGGAACATTGTATATATTTTTTAATGAGAATTTCTTAACGTATCCTAGATCTTTCTACTGAACCATATATTACAAAATCTTATGGAACATTGTATATGTTTTTTAATGAGAATTTCTTAATATATCCTAGATCTTTCTACTGAACCATATATTACAAAATTTTATGGAACATTGTATATATTTTTTAATGTGAATTTCTTATCTTTTTACTGAACCACGTGAAATTTTATAAATACTCTCCGTTTTCGGAGATACATCTCTGGACGCACCTCTTGTACACTCAAGTAAGACCATTCTAAGAGTCTCCCTATATGTTGGGTCATTTTTATTTCGGAGATGGTTGGTGTTACCTCGACTGAGAAGACATATTCTGTTGGTTTTGCATTTCTTGAGTGTGAAAAAAAGAACAATTTTACTTGGGCATTAGAGGTGTGTCGGACACTATTGAAGGTCCAAGGTGAGATGCCTAAAGTAATTGTTATCGACCGCGATATCGCATTGATGAATTCAGTTGCAAAGGTATTTCCTTCTTCTTATGCATTACTTTGTAGGTGTCACATAACAAAGAATGTGAGAAGTCGAGTTAAACCCGCGGTAGGAGCAAAATAGATAGAGTTCGAAGATGGAAAATGGTGAAGGCAGGTGTGGTCGTGGAAAAAATAATGGATGTATGGAATCATATAATAAATTCTTTCACAAAAGAACTATATGTCGATTTCGTTATTCATTTCAGGAAAGTGTGTGAAAAGTATCCAGATTTGTTGAAATAGGTTGAAAGCACAATTCTTGACCAGGTGAAGGAGAAGATAGTTTATGCGTGTATTGATAATGTTAGACACTTTGGAAATACAATAACTAACAGAGTTGAGTTTGTCCATGCTATTTTGAAAATTTGGTTGGGAAATAATAAGAGGGGTTTGTGTAGAGACTTAGACTCCACGAAACACATTATTCAAAACTAGCATAATAAGATACAAACAACATTTAGTCGGAGAATCACAGTTTTGGAACACATATTTAAAGACAACGCTTTATATTCTTAGTTGGTTGGTAACATTTCTCGGGCGGGTTTGAACTATATTTTTCACAAGGCTAAACGAGATGGTAGTGTAGGATCCGATAGCGCAAAGTGTGGATGCACTATTGCAAAAATATATGGTCTTCCATGTGCTTGTGTTATTGCTAAAAAGGTGAAACTTGGTGACCGAATAAGAATAGATGAAGTTTGCACTTATTGGAAAAGACTTAGGTTTGATGATGATGAATGCATGGATGACAATAAATCGAATATCTATATTTTGACCAAATGGGAAGCAATACAAGAGATATTTTTGAAAGTCGGTGACAACATGAAACTCTACAACAAAGAAAAATTGAGGAAGATTTCCTATCCGGAAACCACCAACATGAAACCGCTCTCTCAACCTGTAAAAACAAAAGGTGCTCTGAAGAAAGTGAAGCCTACACAGAATAACAATTCGACTACACGGGCTCCTTTATATTATGAACATGTTGACAAAAGATTTCCTGACTCACCGACTACAAAATCTCAAAAAAGTATTGTCAAAGGCGCGTGCATTAGCAAACCAACTCCGACGCCACCTCTACCGAAGATTCCATTCATCGAAGAGATGTCGAATTTTATGCACAAATATATCGAGCGAATTTTCAATGTCGTGGGGGACGATATTTGAGGTTACCGGTCCGTTTCGGGTTTACTCGGTAAAGGAGAAGATAGTCATACACTTGTTTGACATCAACTTATCCAAGAGTGAAAGACGCATAAAGAATCATACACACGGTTGTACGGAAAGAAAGAAAATTCGATGTGGTTTATAAGTCTCTTGTTCCTTCTTGAGCGGTCTGGCACCGGAGGAAAAATGGGTGTGCTTCTCTGAAATGGGTCACCTGATAACATGTGTATGATAGAGTATGTATTGATCTGACACGCTACGATTTTTCAGAAACCTTTTTCCCACTGCACACCGCCCCACCCCAAAATCCAAATGATCGTATCATGTGTATTGGGTGGCTTCCAAAATTAAGTCATTTTGTTCAAGTTTACTTGAAACTGGGATGCCATATACCACTTACATTACCGGAGTGGGCGACTCATTCAACCATAAAAGGTGAGACTTGTCCAGATCATTTTAGCAGATAAATAACACCCTTTAATGCGCAGACAACCTAGATGGTTCTCGCTGATTACAACGGGTGTATGGGGTGCTAATACCTTCCTCTTGTATAACCGACTTCTGAACCCTGACATTGGTTGCGACGACCGTGTCCTATGATTTTACTTTTCTGTGGGTTTTATCGATATTTTCTCTTTCCTTCTTTTGGAATAAATAAAGTTTGATGGTGACTATACTGTCATCCCATTCCGCGAGCTTTTCTCGCAAGGTGGTGCTCTCTCTTTTTCCTGAGGTGCAACACATATACCACATCACCGGAGTGGACGGCTCAGTCAACCATAAAAATGTGAGACTTGTCCGGATCATTTTATGGAAATGATGCATGAATTCGAGAGAGTACCATCTGAAATACACAAAATCCAAGGGAGACATAGAATTCGAGAGACTTCTCTGGATTCTCGTGTGCTCTCTCTCAAATACACAAAATCCAAGGGAGTACCATCTATAGATTTATCCAGAGACATAGGTTTCGATTCTTCTTAATTTCTTGTTTAATCGGACAAATAATTGTATGTAATTGTGTCTCAATATAAATGAAGTGTTATATATTCACATTTTGTTCATATTTTGTATTTATGCATTCCCCATAACAACATTTGTGTTTTTGTCAATGAAAAATAGGTTTTGTTTTGAAACTGGTTCAGGACAAGTTTCGGAGATTCATCTCCAGAACAAGATAATAGGGTGTTGTTCCCAAGATATATCTCCGGAATCAATATGTCAGTTAATGACTAGTCCAAGTTGATCTATGGCTTCTATAAAATTTAGGTGCTCCAATGTTATATTTCACACAAGCTGAAAATGTCTCAAATATCACAAATAAATATCTATTGGTATGTCACAAATGTCTCCTTCTCCGGATTTATACACCCAGGAGAACGTTCAAGCTCACTGACTTCACCTCTCTTGAAGATATCAAAGACGAAATCCATTATCTCCTACCTTAAAGAGACAATCGAAAGATTGTGAAGCTCGAGAGTCGTTCACCGTCGATTCACAACAGAGTGAAGATTGAGTTCAACAAATTTGAGCTCAAGACACAAGCGAATGTAAGAGCTATGTAGAATACATATTTCCGCATCGAAACAAAAGTTTCGCTCGAGTTGGAAGCGACGCTACAGAGATCGATCGAAGATATTCTGAAGATGGGCAAGGGTCCACCTGGATATTGAAATGTAATAATTTGTTTTATGTTGAATCATCATTGTGATGCTTATTTTATGTTATGAATGCCAATTTCATTTTGGAAAAATAATTTTTTGTTGAATTTGATATTAGTGTCTCTCCGGAAATGTAACTATGAAATTATTCCGGAGATGCTTCTCCGGATTAAATTAAACCAATAAAAGGGTGTAACTAAGAATGACCTTTGTTGAGTGTATGTTGGGATGCATCCGGAGATGCATCTCCGAAATCAGTGGGCATTTGTGAAAATTCACATGGTGCATTAGAAACATCTAGTGTGCCATAAGAAATTCTCTTTTTTAATTCTCTGTAGAAATCAACGTCTATCCAGGGTTAGCCCTGTACAAGAGTAACAAGCGCTATAGCACAGGCCCCAAATGCCGCGTGGCCCAATTTTTTTCTTCATTAATAAATTTTTTCATTAAAAAACAAAAAAGCATAATAATAAAAAACCAATATGTAAAAAATGTTATAATAAAAATTTAATACATAAAAAAATGAGATTAATTAAAATTCAAATTGATTATAATTAAAT